GACGGTGGCAGATGACGTATTCTGAGGACGGTGAGGGTAGTGGAGGAGGGCCTGAGTGTACTTATAGAGGGACATTCAGTGAATATTTCACTAAGGAACATCCGCCAACGACGGTAATCTCTGCAAAGAAAAAAGGCCAAAGTGCGACCTGGGCGAAATGTCTTTATTTTTTTGGCCCTCCCCCCTGTATATTGGGTTGTCCCATAATTCCTGTCCGAATTTCGACACTTTCTTTTCTTCGAGTTTTATCTTTCTTAAAACCAATTGATCAAAAATATAACCATTATCATAATCACTGATATGCATCCATTGCTAGGGAACCTTTGGATGCTTTCCTCCTAGAATGGAGTGAAGCTATGAGCTGAAGAATTCAGCAAGGTCGTTTTTGGGGTGGTTGTATTTCTGACATTTTTCTCTGGCCGCTGCTGCTTCAAGGCAGTGTGACCTTGACATTACTCCATCGGGATAGTCCGATGGAGTAATATCAGGGCTATATGATGGACATAATACTGTGGTGTAGCCAATTTCGCCAAACCGCCAAGCCATACGTTTATGATGGTCTCTCGCACTGCCTCGGTCAACCTCGGAAGCTGTTCACGAATTCGCAATGATTGTCTGCTTGTAGCAAAGCGGTTATGATAGCGAGATACCCAATCAATTCAACAAATCAGGAACAATATCCTTCAAAGATGGAGTTTGGGCTTTGGTTGAGCTGGTGAGTCCTGGCTGCGAGCCGATGGAACCAGGCGTGTGGCGCATTGTTCCTTGCAGTGGAGCCATGACTCATCTCCACTAGTGATCGACGACGGAAAGTCTCGTCTATGCGGCAGCAAAAGAAGACTCCCGCAGATGGCCAGACGTGCTTCTTGGTCATGATCGGCTGGTGCATGCTGTTGCTGCTGCAGACGTTTTTCATCCAAACGTCGAGCGATGGTGCACCGTGTTTGTCCAGGTGTCTATAACAAATCTTTGGCAGTGGCGTTCGTGTACATCCCAATTCATGTAACAAGGGGTCCTCATCGAAAGTGAGTGGAGGCCCAGGATGAGGCTGATTTTCACAGCTCGTATTGTCTTTGCCATTGCGACCGAACCACTAGCTCAGTGACCGATCAGTAGCAGAGACTGAGCCAAACACAGCGCTGATCTTCTCTACTGTCCTCCTTGCAACAGCGTCTATTTGAGGATCATAAAGCATAATCGTTCGTTATTGTCACTGATCTATTTCGACTTCTACTCAGTTATCCGATGCGGGTTTGACCTTCCAAAATGTCCTGGCTAACGGTCTAGATGCACTCTTTGACATACCAACATATTTCGCAATGACACTAATTCTGACTTGAAGAAATTTGAATTTAAACAAAAATCGGACAGGAATTATGGACATTCCAACATCAACTCTATACATAATTCTGGCATTAGCCCGTCAATTAAAATCTCTGCAAAATGATGTAAATGTGGAATTGCTTAAGCTCTCAAATGCATCGAAATCAGCGCCTTAAGACAACCCCTTGCTTTCCACTCTTACGTTATTGAGTCGCACCTGCTGTTTTTGGATGATAGAAAGAGTCTGAAGAAGATTTTGAGAATCGACTTCTTGGATTCCTTTTGGTTCTTATGGTACCGTAATCATGCGCCTAGATTATTCCATCACATCATAGTAGCGAATGTCATGAGCATGAATCTAATACGAAGCTGAACTCTTTGTTGCTGGACTGTTTA